TGGATCACTCAGTGTTACTACAATCCCGACTCTACCCTGGGTCACTCAGTGTTACTACAATCCCGACTCTATCCTGGGTCACTCAGTGTTACAATCCCGATTCTATCCTGGGTCACTCGAAATGAATACCACAATTTGCAGCCAAAAGACAAGAAAATGGACAGTTATAATTTTCTAGATCACATTCTTTGATTGTGAAAAAGTTAACTCACGTGCTAAACTGAAAAAACAAACACAAAACAATGACAGTTCACTTTCTAAAACTGAGTGACCCAGAGTAGAGTCGGGATTGTAATGCTGAATGACCCAGGATAGAGTCGGGATTATAACACTGAGTGACCCAGTGTAGAGTCGGGATTGCAACACTGTGTGATCCAGGGTAGAGTCGGGATTGTAACATTTTCAGACTTTGTGTTCATAACATTCGTATTGTCCAAAAATCTTCTACTGCTGTAAGCTTTATTTTATCAAACATATTTGTATTGGGTTCCAGTAGCAAGGAGCATCAAATGAAACGACAGTTAGCATTGAGACTGTACCCACAGTGGTATGAAACTACCTTCCAAACCGAGAAAATAGATTGAAAAGAAAATTATATTAAAATCAATAGTCTTTCATTGTTTACTACTTTTAAAGTAGTTAACCTTAAAAGTTAACCTTGAAGTTACCCACTTTATTTTTTATACATTTCACAACTAATAAAGTACAGATGTTGCATCATATAGAGTTATGTCAAGTTTTCGGCTCCTGATAAAAAAAAAAACATTAAAAAAATTGTGCTAGATGATTCATTTTCTAATAAATTACATTGGGGGCAGTAGCAGTAATTAATTGAATCAATTATAATATTGATCTAAGCGCAAAGTTACAACATAGGCTATCTACGCTTTGCTCATCGCCAAACATACTCGACCTTTCAGCTGTGGGGGCGTTATAAAGTACCATCAATCCCACTATTCGTTAGTAAAAGAGTAGCCCAAGAGTTGGCGGTGGGTGGTGATGACTAGCTGCCTTCCCTCTAGTCTTACACTGAATTATAAACAGCCCTGTAACTGTAACAAATTAATTTGACTGTTTTTGTTGTTATTTAGCAGAATCTTATTATTATAAACCTCGAACTAACGGGGTTGGCATATTGACGTTATTAATCTTAGCAAAAACTACTTTCTCTCAACATTTCGCTCTATAAAGTTTAATTTATTCGTCTTAAAGTGCTCTTGTCATCCACTTAATGGTTAATGTTCACTATCCATCGTCCAAACTGGCTATAATCACAAATTAAGGTGTCACTACTACGGCCTATGGCAATTCAAAGCCAGTAAATAATCTTTCCATCTGTCATTTCGTCAATTCAACCAAACTACTGTAAAATGCTATGTCCTTTTTAGTTTTTCTCAGGAAATTTCTTTTTACGCGACTGTGTCTTCTACAATAAATAAAACTTTTACGTTTTTGGCTTAACAATCCCCTATTGACAATTGAGTCAAACGCGGTAGTGACCGTAAGGAAAGTGCATGAATCGTTGTGAATTATAGCATGTGTTTAAGTAATAGTGACTGTGGAAATTAAGTGTATTGAAAAGTTGAGTTGAGAAAGAATAAACTAGTTTTATTTAAGAAAGGACTTACATCGCTGAAGTTTCTCGGAAGGAATTTCTACGGAAAATTAACAAACCCTCCAGTTACATCTGCTCTCGGTGATTCATAAATATTTTACCTGTCCACTATTGTTCTTAGTAAAATGTCAGGCTTAACGAATATAATTCCCAACTATCACACGAGGTTGTGGACCTGCAAAAAAATTAAATTAAGGAACATAGAAAGATCGTTACAATGATGAAAAGAGTGGGGACAACAGAAAAGATTGTTGTTTTCATATTGTTGTAACATCATTCTTTCTTCGACGGATTATTTTAATTTATCTGGTGAAAATAATTCAATACCTAGTCGATGTAACGATAATAAATTACTTTATTTTCTCCTTTAAAGTTTCTACAAACTTGAACATTTGTAGTTGCACACTACCGTAAGTTTTGTAAGGCTACGTTACAAAAGGTGTTAACTAACGTAAAACGTATACCACTAATAGCCCGATGAAGCCGCAATGGCGAAATGTTAGGTGAAATAAAAATATTTTTATTGTTATCAGGAAGACAACTGTCTTTCTTTTTTTTTAACTTTATTGCCAAAATGTAAAACAAATCAATTTACTTGTAAAGTTGTAGTTGTACAAAGTAACTGTGGTAGCTAACACACTGACTGGTTCTTTCACTACCTTGAATTAATTCTACCTACTATCTCCTTGACTATTTTTCAACTCACCCTGTAAATTAACTAGACTAACGCTTAATTAAAATTTAAATTTGTATTTATAATTTACATACAAATGTGCAAGAACCAAACTTGACATCAAATCTAAGAGCTTTCTACGTGTTCTACGCCCCTAGCCATCAAATGACATTAAAAATATAGCTGAAAACAAGAATTTATCACCGTAGCCTATCATTGTATACCAGCTGATCGACATTTACTTCGATATTGTATAATATGCATTTGAATTGGCGTATTCTACTGACTAGATGTATATATTTATTTAGTTGATGAAATGTTATGAAAACCTTTACCTAATGTTCCTCGTGAAAGTTATATTTAAATAAATTTCCATAGTTAACATAACACGTTATAAAACCATGTTGTTGTTTTTTTTAAGTTAAAGACACATGTTAGACTATTTATAGTTAATTTTAAAAAGCAGCAATATGAGTCGCTCTATTGGAAATCTAGCTATTTGCTCACTATTTGTTTATTTCACACGACAACGACAAACCGTAAAGCCATGTCAACAATAAAACGCTTCCATTTCAAAACTTTCACCCTAGTTACATAATTTTTTGTTTTTGCATATATTTAGATTGGAGAACTTGTGATTGCCGTTTGGGTATTCGATCGTGTGTATTTCTCTGTCGTTTTATTTTTATAATAAACTAGTTACGAATTAAATCAATATTTAAATCAAATAATATCACATAGTTGTGTTGATAAACCTACATATACTATAGGCCTGAGAGTGTGACTATGTACGTTTTGGTTTAGCAATTTAAATTTTAACGTTAAATCTGAACACCTAACAACCTTTTACTTTTTTTTACTATAACCAGTACCCTTATAAAGTACTACTATTGTAATAATACTAGTGGATTTGTTGCTGAAAGGTCAAGCTTCATCATATATCTGTGCATATTAATCGAACAAATTACGTTTGTTTTTTCCTTACGGGATTGTAACTTAATTATTTAAGCCTATCAAAAACGAAATTAAAGGTTACACCATGCAAAGAATATTGATCTATCAGCCTATTAATTAACTCAATACTGGATACAGTGCACCAATAACGAAAACAAGCGTTCATAGTCTTACAAGTTACATTGCTGCTCAGTAGATCAGCGGTAAGTTTATTGACTTGCATTTACAACGCAAAAATCCGGGGTTCGATTCTCCGTGTGGTTAGAATGTACATTACCTATTGTGTAGCTGTAGAATTACATTTATCATTAATATGTTTTAATACATCTTGTTTCTCGATCTTATCCAGCTAGAGTTATGTACTTAAAGTTACAGGCAATTTTACTTGGGAAATTCACATCCTTTCAGGGTGTATGTTGATTAGACTAGAGTATCAGCTTATATCGGAGTTATTTTTTATATTCAGTATACGTTATAAGTACATTTATAAACTTATAAAACTGCACATAATTTTACACCCTTACTAAAATCAAGGGTAATTAAGAAGTAGACTTATTTCGAAAGTGAAAACTCATTATTTTTTAAAACCCAATTAAACTGGGAACTTGTAAGATATTTAATGATGAAGGTAAAAACACTTATTCTTAGACTCTAAGTTGTGACTCTTCAAAGATGGTTAATTTTATAGTAATGTCGTACATTTAAAAATCAGTTTTCTGTTGACTTATCAGCTTGAACATATTTTTAAACTGTGAAAAACAAGATGGAAAGAAGTGGGCCTTAGAAGCTACAGCTTAATATGTAGGGTATCAGTGAGTGAGAGGTTCAGTGCTGGTCAGGTTACTACATTGCTATAGACTTGAAAGTTTTGACTACTTTTTATTACACTATTTTTCGTAATGTTTTATTTCTTGTGGCTGGTAGTCTGGCTACAGTTGAAAGACCTAAATACTTGTTTAGTTAACAGTGAATTAAACTAATCATTTTGTAGATATTGAAGAAGCTGTGATGAATTTTTAAATATGGTTTTGGTTCTCTTAACAATGGAACAATATTAACATCTTGGGAAAAGGTACAGAAATAATGATGTACTAGAATGATACCTGATAAGTTAGAAAGAAAGAATTAAAAGTTTTTTATAGAGTGTAGAAAAACCAGACAAAATTTGATTCAGTTGTTCAGAATTGTAAAAGTTTTGTACAATCAGCTATTAGATTGTCTGGGTGAGTGGTTAGAAATAAGGACTAGACAGAATAATTAATAGACTTTGGATGAGTGATTAGAAATAAGGACTAGACAGAACAATTAAAAATTCTAGTAATTGTTCTGTCTAGTCCTTATTTCTAACCACTCACCCAAAGTCTAGTCCTTATTTCTAACCACTCACCCAAAGTCTATTAATTGTTCTGTCTAGTCCTTATTTCTAACCACTCACCCAAAGTCTATTAATTGTTCTGTCTAGTCCTTATTTCTAACTTCTCACCCAAAGTCTATTAATTGTTCTGTCTAGTCCTTATTTCTAACCACTCACCCAAAGTTTATTAATTGTTCTGTCTAGTCCTTATTTCTAACCACTTATCCAAAGTCTAGTAATTGTTCTGTCTAGTCCTTATTTCTAACCACTCACCCAAAGTCTAGTAATTGTTCCGTCTAGTCCTTATTTCTAACCACTCATCCAAAGTTTAGTAATTGTTCTGTCTAGTCCTTATTTCTAACCTCTCACCCAAAGTCTTGTAATTGTTCTGTCTACTCCTTATTTCTAACCACTCACCCAAAGTTTATTAATTGTTCTGTCTAGTCCTTATTTCTAACCACTCACCCACTCACCCAAAGTCTAGTAATTGTTCTGTCTAGGTTAGAAATAAGGACTAGACAGAACAACTACTAGACTTTGGTTGAGAAGGTTAGAAATAAGGACTAGACAGAACAATTACTAGACTTTTGGTGAGTGGTTAGAAATAAGGACTAGACAGAACAATTACTAAACTTAAGCTGTGCAAGTTTAGATGCAGGTTTGATGTATAACTGAAATTTTATCAAAATTCTAATCATGTGGAATGGCTTATTTGATTATGTAAGGTTTATTGTCTGAATTATTTCTAGTTTTCTTAGATATGTATATCAACGTAATAGACTACTCTTAACTGGGATTTAATATCTTGATTCTGGTTTTTATAAGTGACAGGTGACCTCAGTGATTTGAGGTGTTCATTATCATAATTACCAGGTCTATATATTTGTAACATCCCTTAGTTCAATCAAGCATATTTTGACTTTTAGTTACAGTATAAGAAACATCAATCTAAGAATCAGTTTATAATTCTTTTTTGTTACAGAAACCCACTTCATATATTCCAATCCTCACCACAACATTGGCATAAATAAATCACTTTACTTACAAAACCATGAATATTCACTGGACTCTTTTAGCAGGGTTTTTGTATGCTGAAATGGGATTTCTGACTCTGTTGCTACTACCTTTCATTTCACCAAGAGGGTAAGATTTTCTGATACTTATTTATTGTCTAATGACGTAGAATGAGTGAAACACCAGACTACATTGTACCACTAAAAATCACATATATATATACTGTACTGAAAAATAATAATGTATTATTTTAACAATTAAATATTCCTGCATCAAGTACTTACATATTTTAATGTTGTAAATAGTCACATTTAATAAAGACAAATTTTTTAGATGGAACCGTGTCTTCAAGTCAAACTTTTGCCAAGCGATGAAAAAACAAGCCAATGTCTACTTTACAGTGTGTATTATTGTACTTATACTTCTCTTCTTAGGTAGGTACAATGTCTACTTTACAGTGTGTATTATTGTACTTATACTTCTCTTCTTAGGTAGGTACAATGTCTACTTTACAGTGTGTATTATTGTACTTATACTTCTCTTCTTAGGTAGGTACAATGTCTACTTTACAGTGTGTATTATTGTACTTATACTTCTCTTCTTAGGTAGGTACAATGTCTACTTTACAGTGTGTATTATTGTACTTATACTTCTCTTCTTAGGTAGGTACAATGTCTACTTTACAGTGTGTATTATTGTACTTATACTTC